TAATTGGTTTTCCTTCTTCAATCCATGAGTTTGTCTCATGTACGTAGTATATTCACTTATAGAATTTATACACCAGAATTTGCCCCGAACTAGCAAACAACAAAAAGGCAAAAAAAGAATAACATTACATCTCTAGGCATTATTGTCCTTGGAATTATCATGGAATGCCACATTTCACACAAGATGACATACTCCTACAATATGGAGCAAATAATTTTAGTTCACATTGCAACCGTATTCTGACATACTCCTTGGTTTATACTCTCACTACAACATAATAAAGAAGTTATTAATGAAATCATCTATACAATTTCCCCCACTCCCTAAAGCTTCAAACCATGTAAACTAGTTTTGGTTTTAAAACCTTATTGCCAATAACACCATTTTAAAACCAACAGCGGAGAGGTTGTCCCTAATACGCATTTTGACTATTCTGCTCTTCATTTCACATTTCATATCCAGCTACTTCGTATTATGTTGCTACAAGTCTAAAATCCAAATATAACAGGTGAACACAAATTCCTTTATTTAGCTTCCTGACATTCATAATAATCACATGCATATGTTTGAAAAGAAAACTGAGTATTACATGTATGCTCTTGACGGGCACTTTGTCACGGTGCGTTAAAATAAATTCAATACTAGCACTAATACGTAGTATAGTGAAGTAGAGTTCGTATCCACAGGGAAAAGAATAATTCTCTTTTTAGTAAAACTAGTAAATAAGGGGGGTTTTGGGATTGAGTGATTTAATTAAATTAAACACGAAAATGAACGACTCATATGAGTTTTAATTCAAAGATAAAAGGGACTTGGCATTGCTACTTTCCACTTGTTGATATATTTTAGTCGATCATTGTTATATCTATAACTTATCTCCTCTCGGATACTCAATCGAGGAGTATATCCAATTCATCGAGGGTAGTTATTAACAACGACCGTTCATTAATAACCCTTACTATTAGTCAAGTATAGAACACCGCCATATACCGACTTGATAGTAGCATTTAATCTCTTAACTCGTTGATGAAATCAATTGAGATTGATAACCTCAACACAACAGTTTTGGTTTAACCAACAAAATTAATTCCTCTTAAGTTTATTAACCACGACCGTGCATTAATAAACCGAAGTTACTTACTTGTGAAACCATCAACGATTAACCATCGGTTCGTTGATCATTTCTAGTAATAATTAATATATGAAACAAAACTAGTTGATCCTTTAAGTAATGTTCAAAATATTAATATGAAATATGAATAGGAATTAATTAATACTCAAGGAAGAATATTAAAGAAGATGAATCCTACTATAGTTAATATCAAGATGTTAACTAATTGTCATCTTAGTAACACTCCCCAATATTAAAATAGAGGAAGAAATAACTATTACTATAACTAATGTCAAGATGTTAACTAATTGTCATCTTAGTAACACTACCCAACATTGATATAGAAATAGTATCTAAAGGAAGAATTAATATTCAAGGAAAGAAGTTAAGAAAATAACTCACAACTTTAATAATCAACAAGCTTCAAGAGCAACACCAAGAAATGGAAGTTTAGCTCCTCATTTGGAGACTAAACATGCTATAAAAATATAAAATAAATACTATTCTAAACTGAGCTTAAGAGTATGGAAGAAGGAGTGATTTAAATGGGAGGAAAAGGGGTGTATTTATAGGTATTTGAGGTGGCTGGGTCTGATACCCGACCGGGTATGTAGAATACCCGATCGGGTATCCCTAATTGCTTGGAAGGTGCTGAAATCACATTCAACCCGACCGGGTTGGGTCAAAACCCGACCGGGTTACGTATCAAATCGGATATTTCCCACGTTCTCTTAGCTTGATCTTGGACACGTTCTTTTGTTCTTGTCAACTCAACCCGACCGGGTTTTATACCAACCCGACCGAGTTTTGGTGCGTAGCTTCCTTTTGGCTTCATATGTCACTTACAACCCGACCGGGTTATATTTCAACCCGACCGGGTTTGCTACCAAAATTTATTTCCACCATTCATCTTGCCTTCCTTTGGTGCCTATAATACTTTCTTGCATCCCTTATGATACTTACAACAAAATACACACCAAAAATACAAATTAAAACCTACAACATAAATCTATAGAGTACATCACAAACTAAACTAAACAATTAAAAACAACAATCAAACAATACTAAAATAACAAACTTATGCACTAGGAAATAGTGCATATCAGCTCTTTCTCTTTATAGTTTACAAATATAATAACAATTCTAAGAGAATAGTACACTTGATGAGTTGATGCACACCTATGCTTGCTTGTCTCCCCTGTCTGCCACCACACTCAACAATTCTTCATATATATTCTATTCACACCAAACACGCTAAGAGAACTCCATCAACGTAAATAGTGGACTAAAGGTGCAAATAACTGAGTGTTCTTAATATACCTAAACACCTAAGAATTGATATTCATAATAATGCATTATAAACTTCAACCACCCTACTCCAGATTGACGAAATATAAGCATTTAACATAGAGTTGAGGTATAGTAAATCATGGTAAAGAAATCTAGAAACCCAGTTATTGTGTGGAATGTTGGGCATGCATGGTCTATGCTACACAACATCTAAACAGTTCTCTTAAGGATAACAATAGTTAATAACATCATAGTGTACAGTTGTTTGTTAACAAATTTACATATCATTTGTGAATCTAAATTCCGTGAAAAATAATAGTGAATCCGGATATAAATCAGAGCAAATCAAAAATGAGAAAACTTTAGTCGAAATGATAGTCCAAACCACAACTGAAACTTAGATGGGATGTAATCCACGACATCTCAATTCAAAACTATTAAAGAAAGCAAAATTTAATAATCCAGATGTAACAATAATGGCAAAAGTAAAGGTTTCATCAAAGAGACGCTTAATCACCATACTCGGCATTAGGACATTCCTTACCAAGTCATTGGATCTTTCTAGAATCGTCGACCTTATGGAACCGCAAGCCGGTGAGATTAATCTTCTGGCACATTGATCTTCGATGGCTTTATGTAGGTCTCCTTCCACAAATTATACCGTGGGATCGGCAAACCGTCCTCAAGGTGTACCGATCCCAAAACGACGTTTGTTTCTTGTTAAAAATTACAAAACCTCCTCTGCGCTTCGTTCCCACCGGCCAGCTCTGTAATTGCGCATCTGCCAGGAGTGAAGGAATAAAAGGTCCCTTTACTCTACCTCTGTGCTTCGTTCCCTGCTCAACCCCGCCTCCGCCAGTTCACAGATGGCCGTCCAGGCCTACGTCGCCCTCCCTGAGTTCAAATCTGAGGTCGCAATCTGCTCTGAAGGGAATGGAACACACTCCGGAATGGAATACAATCTGCGTCGCCCTCCCTGAGTTCGATTGTCATGCTATTGGGTGTTTACATGGCATAGATGTCCTCTATTGGTTCCCTTTTAATCCACCATCATAGATGTCCTCTTGTTTTTTTATCGAACTTATCTTGTTCGATACAAATATTCCATCAAATTCGTATATATATGTAGATTTAATTTAAAAGAAGAAGCAAAGAAGCAAAATTCATACGAAGTATGTATGTATATTAGACAACTTACATTTTGATTTGGCACAAGTTACATTTTCATTGATGCAATTTACATTTTTATTACGTCAAGTTACATTTCAGTTAACGTGATTTGCATTTTTGATTTCTCCGCACTTACATTTTAATTAATGCGATTTACATTTTCAAATTTCCTCAAGTTACATTTTCATACATACAGGTTACATATCAATTTGATAAAAGTTACACTTTGTAACACGCGGTTTACATTTCGTGTATGAAATGTGAGAGAACCATTGAAGGGTGTAATATGAGTTACATTCCAGGCACCGAGTTATATTTGTAGTTAACTGAGATTACATTTTATAACAATGCGAGTTACATTTCAATACGCGCGATTTACATCATGAAAAATATTAAGACACAAACAAATATGTACTGTTCACCCGCGTTTTACTTAATTAAACTCAAGTTAAATGACATTAATTTACGTATGGGAGTATCGTGCTCATGGTGGGAGCATACCACGGTATAACAACTCGTCTCCTTCTAGCGTTTCTTCACACCGCCATGGAGGTAGATGAAAAGGAGGAGGGCAGACTCCTCGACATTGTAGCCGACAGGGGTGCGGCCGTCATCCAGATGCTTCATCGCGAAGAGATTTGGCTTTGACGTCTTGCAACTCTACATGTTTGTGTCTGCGATGTGTTTTGAATTTGAATTTGGGGTTGCGGAGGTTTTAATTTGGGTGTTAGGAATATGATGATTTTTGAAATACTAAAACTATTAGTGAAAAGAGGAAAGTTAAAGATGAAAAAGAAAACATGTCGGGTCATAAAAGAAATTCAAAACATAAAAGGGGTTTACACGGGTAATTTCTACAAAACTATTTATCTTTATTTTTAGCCTTATACATATTCAATACAACAACCCTTTGATAGAGAAATATGTTCTTCATTAATATACAAGATCTTGAGTATCCTCTTTTCCTCACGGACATTGATCAAGATTAAGTTTTTCTCACTTTTCCATTAGGGTGTTCCATGATTTACATCTTACATGCTAAGTGCTTTTGAAAAATTATTGGTATATTCCTTTGATATATTCAGAGGACTCATCAAGAATGGTCGCAAATAATCAAAATCTCTAAGATAATGGTTGCATCACATAAGTTAAAATATCACACTTTTGCGCTTAAACATTATGAAAATTGAAATAAATTTGTTCTCTTACAGGCAGTTCACACTTCACATGTATATTTGTTCTTTTTCTTTTTAGTGTTTTTATAAATTGTAATAAGTCATTGTTGATTTTTGCAAGCTATAAGTTCTTCTAGTTACTAGGCAATTTTTGGATGAAGACTGAACCAAATAAGTTGACGAACCTGGTCAGGTCTTACTCATCTAGGGTTGGAATAGTGAATGATTCTTGTAATAACAAGAAAGTATTATTTGTAGAAAGTAAGAAAACTAGCAACATTACAAGACTCTTGCACATCGAGAACCATTTTTTCGCACAAACGAAACATAGAAAACAGTAGCGCATGATACAAAAAAAAATCAATATTCAACCTCAGCTCACAATAGTCTGTAATCACTAAAACTGAAATTATAATTCCGTTGTGACAAAGCTATGGTTATTAAACAATACTTGATTACTAAAACAGTTGTAATAACGCAAACTAGATCATCACAAGAACCTCATCATGTTCATCGTTGGGCGATAAGTTTGGGAAATGAATGCATACATCCTTACCTCACCAACACCACAATATTTGCTTATTAATCCGATTTCCGACAGGTAATGATAGCAAATTTGATGAGACCTTTCTTGTACCCTTGAATCATCAATGGCATTGCCATAGCTCCCTTTATCGTTTTCCATCCTATATAATACATATTTTACATCAAACAAAACAGAACTATCTCCATGTTTGGTTTAAATTAAGTTCTCATATATTAATTCAGTAGACAACATGACTACTCCCTCAGTCCCGTTTCAAAACTCCCGGTTCATTTTACATTATAGTTTAGATACTTAGAATCTTTTTTTAACCCGGTAGGTTTCCAAATCTGTGAGTCTTAGGATAAGGGTCGAGGAACAACTTACCTATTTATTGATGAAAAAAGATACAATGAGTAGGAGGGTTAAAACCAATAGATACATAAAATCTATGATATTAGTTCCATTGATCGACTTTGCAAAAAATCAAATTCAAATCTGAAAGTAAAATATAATATATAATCCGATATTACCCCCCAAAAAATCTGATATTACACATGTTAATTTGGCTAAATGAAAAGTGTATATGAACCTTGAACTAGAGCAGATGGAGTATCAGTTAACCTCTTAAGGAGTATTTTCATATAGCACTGCTTCATTGCCTTATATCTCTGCCATCCTTTTAATTTTGATTGTTTCAAAAACATTTCTTCTATGTCATTAATTAATTTGTGGTTCTTATTACTCTTTCTTGATACGGAGTTAACTACATAGTGTTTATTGTATAAGTTTTGTGTATACGCTATGTATACACAGAACATTTATTTCTATGTTTACAATTACAAAGTTATTCTTTTTACGTTCGCAAATCACAATATGTATGTGGTGCCCTTTAATTGTATTTTGCTTCTATTAAGATATGAAATTTCATCTTAAAAGGTCAACCTAATAAGAGGAGTAGTCTATGATCTTAATATAGCAGTTTATTAGTTCATATATTACCGGTGTGTCACTTCAACACATATCCTTACGACATCATTCGTTTTTTCATCGATTCATCATTGTTATTTTTATAATCGAGTGCTCATTTTTCATAGGGCCAACACCATGGTTATAGATCGATTTGACTCTAACATCATGTTAAGACCCGAGGTTTCATCCTAAAAGTTAATCAAACAGGAGAGGGAATCAAAGACACATCAATCGAGCACATGCAGACGATGGTAACTAGTTTTAGTATATTAGTACTTATTATTATTATTATTACCACTTCTTAAAAGTGAGGTAATTCCTTTCCAAGTAAATGCCGATTTGATGACTGCTGGCCAAAAAGGAGCAACATTTTCAGACCAATCTGAGGCCTTTATATCCTGCATGGAAATTAGCCCCTATTAGACATATACATGCTATATTTGTATTAAGTAAGAATAATTTTAAAAAATGGCCATTGTTATAGATTGATGACGTTTTGCATAGTGGAGTACTATATTTGACTAAAAAAAAGTTTACCTTCAATCTTATATGGAGGTTTAATATAATTGGAATATATGAACACAAATTTTAATTAATTAACCTGAAGAGAGTGGGATTGAAGTAACTTGACATAATCAGCAGTAGAGCACCATGCAGGGAGATAAAAGGCATTGCATATCTTTTTGAGAAGTTCTTCCTCTTCAGGAAGCAGAGACTCTTCTGTAGGGGAAAGATCCCTATGACACCATGTCACTAATATGATTCTCCCACCGGGGGCCGCCACTCGGGCCAACTCCGAAACAAACTACATTTTTTTATATTAAAGAAATTAAATTAGTGTGAAGTCATGAGTAATTAAAGGGGTATGTGTTCATAAGAAGTAAAAAAGTGATATCGAAATAGAAGTACTTTATTATTATCTAAAAAGGAATACAATTTGTAATCATAACGATGTGTTTCGAATGATTCATATACAATCTATACAGTTCACAAAAATGAAAGAAGTATGTGATTAATTACTTTCTAGTAAATTGTGCTTAATATTTTAAGTTACCTTTTTCCCCAGAAAGTTTATCAAAGCAATGACATTATCTATGTTTTGATAAATATTTCAATGTTATAGGTGCATGTAACTCCACACCCACTAAGTAAACATTCAAAATATAACACTGATTGCAATTGTGGGTTGTGTTAGGTGTACGTACACATTTTGGTGTACACCTAACATTTTTCTTGTCACAATATATTACCTTGGCTTTGTCAGGCATGTGCTCACCACTCTCCATGGACCAGACAAGATCGAACTCTCCATCTGGGAAGGGCTGATTCAACGCATCCGCCACTTGGAAAGAAACCTGCACATGCATTGTACTTTACACATTTCATTTAAATAAAGGTGAATACTTCGACACCAATAAAAAATGAGGGTGTTGTAGCTATTATACTATTTGATTGGTCCAAGTCATTATTTCATAATTCGTTTATATTTAATTATTCAATTGCAATATTCTAACTAATTCAACGAGATACCGTAGACTGAAGGTATCATAGACTTTGCTTTAAACAATTTTGCTTATTAGCTAAACCTACGTCAAGAGCATTATCACTAATAGCTACTTCTTTCGGCCCATTCAAACGTTTCTACTTTTCTTTTATGTACCCACTCACTATCCATTCTCTACCCACTTGTTTTTCAGATATCTCCTCTTCTCCTCAGTGTCTTCCACTTTTCTTCAACATTATCTTTTTCACTTTCTTTTTATCTCCAATTTACACAATACCCTGCTCTAATTCTCTCTTTTTATCCTCCTTTATTTATCTTTCGATTTTGTTCAAAATACATGTAAAATGGTTACACACACAAATGCACAGTTTACGACCAAGGATAATCACACATTTTGTTCACATAGACAACTAAAATTGATATAACAGTCAACAATTGATTGCGAGCAACACAACTAATTTGTCTATGTGATAAAAAATATCTCAAAAATCCACTTTGGTCACATAAAGCTATTGTCCGTGCACAAAGAATAATTACAATAATATTTTACAATAATTACACAATTATTCATACTTTATAAATAAAAAACACAGTGCTCCTAATTTGAAATTCCAAAATATTTTACTTATTTAGGTAATTTGTTTAACATTTTATACATGAACAAAAGAATAAGTATGGTTCAAAATAAGATAGGAATGAAATGGAAAAGGCACAAAGGGGGCTTTAACCTGATCACTGAGTCCCTGAGCAGCAGCTAGAGATTCAGCCCTTTGGGCTTGGTATGGGCTAAGAGTGATTCCTTGACATGTTGCAGAAAATTTGGTGGCTAGGAACCTTGAACTTCCACCAATTCCACATCCAACATCTACTATCTTCTTTGGTTTCTTCTCCGCATCGTCTGCATAAATTAATAATGCATGTCACTCCCTATTATTTTTGTTGCTCATTTCATACAGAGTCGATTTTATATTGGTGCCGAAATGTCCACAAAGTCCAAGTTTAAATATACGAAGTAATAAAAACCCAAAATACATAAATAAGGATTAAAAAGATACTTAGGATATCTCTTAAAATGCCAAGTTTGAATATTAAAATAAGTGTGATGTGAATATCATGCACTTTAATTTCGATGATTTTTTCCTGTAAGCAGACACAATTTAACACGATAGCTCCTAATTGTCTTTTTGTGTGTGTGTGTTGACACAATGATGATGTGAACATAGACACATAGGAGGTGTTTGGTTAACAGCCTATCAGCCATTTTTTGGCTGATTTGACCAATTTTTGGCTTTTTGATGACCAAATCAATCAACTAATATAGTGTTTGCTTAAATGGCTTTTTGGTTTGGCTTTTTGTCCCAAACAGCCAAAATACGAAATGCTATCAAAGTTAGCGTTTAGGAACGGCTGTTTGTTGATTTTTTCTATTTTCCGTTACTATCAAAGTCTAATAAATGTTCCAACGAAGAGAAAAAATAGGAACACACTCACGCAGGGACCAAAATGGTTTTTTAGTTTTTTTTTTGTGGCAGGGAAAGTTATTGGAAAGTTATTGGACCAAAATTCCTTTGTTATGTTATAATCATTACAGCAATAATAATATTAATAATAATAGTATGTATACAATTTGAGAAAGACCTATAAAGAATGTTTCTCGAGGGATGTAAAAGTGTAAAACAAATTTACATTTTTAAATAAAAAAAATGGTTTAGGCAATTGTTCGGATTACGTGAATTAAAAATTTACTAATGTCCTTAATAGTCATTTGACAAATTATCAGCTGATTGAAAACAGCCATTTAACCAAACATCGTTTTACAAACTGCTAATAGTATCAGCTAATCAAAACAGTCAACGAAATCCGCCGTTATCGATCAGCCAACACAATCAGCCAACGGCCAACAGCCAACAGCTAATTGCCAAACACTCCCATAGTAATAGTTCAAAAATCATTTTGAATGTTTTATTCAAAAATACTTGTAAGAATATAAACATCTAAAATAGTAAAGGGTACGTAATATATAAATAAACTAAAAAAGTGAATTCGGATGTATAGTTTAAATAAATATGAGAAGACAAATTAATAGCACTTAATATGCTTTTTTTAAGTGCATAGCACTTGTGGGTGTAAAAACCGTACATAACACTTCTTATGAGGCCATGTTATTATAGTTACTACATGTGAACGTTAATTTTTATCCTTGTAAGTTAGTTAGTTAGGCTATTTGTTTTATTTATACAAATATATAACATTAATTTAACTGTACATAATTAAAGTTGTATATACACCCAAATATTCCTAGTTTTTTATCCACATATCCTTTTTATAATTTTACGTCTTCACAATAATTTTAAACAATTAAATCACCAAATTTTTTACTTCGATACATTCATGACAACGGCTATTCTAAACAGTTTATTGAAGTAAAAATGGAAACTAATAATCCAACCTTTTAACGGTCTTCTTTCAATAATTACACTTTTTGATTATTCATGAATAATCCAACCTTTGTACCTCATCTTCATCTTCATTCATTGGTCCCTGATCGGTTAATGACCTACTATTCCAAGTTATTTTCTTATCTTTGCAAAATATTATCTTTGTGAAAGATGATATTTATGGTATAATGATTTGAAAAGATAAGAAAATAGCTTGGAATAGCAGGTCATCAACCGGTCAAGGACCAGTGAATGAAGATGAGGTGCAAAGGTTGGATTATTCATGAATAAACAAAAGGTTGGATTATTGTAAGAAGACCGCTAAAAGGTTGGATTATTAGTTTCCATTTTCCCTTTATTGGAATCCGTTGTTATCAATCTAACCACACGATCAACTGTTTACCAAACACTTCTTAATTCTTATGTCTAGTTTTAAAAATGAAAGTATAAATTCTCAAAGGTTAGTGTAAAAGATTCATGTAACTTATTTGAAAAACTGCTAAAAGATCGATTGAATAGAATTTCCTCAAGAAACGGTGATTATTAAGTTATACAGTAGTTTATGACTCATGACATGTAGAAAACCAATATTGGTTCTACTTCGAATAATGAAAGAAATAAGAAATTTTATCAACCGAACACCAATAGGGAAAATCGCATATATGGTCCTTCAGTTATTCACGAAATTAAAATCTCAGACCTGCATTTCTGAGATTGTAAATGTCACCCCTCAATTGCCCAAAATGCTGTAAATGTGGTCCTTTTGAGGGGTGAAATATATAATGTGGGCGAGAGTGCATTTTACTACTTAAAGGAACACATTTACAGCATTTTGGACAATTGAGGGGATACATTTACAATCTCAGAAATATAGGTCTGAGATTTTAATTCTGTGGATAACTAAGGGACCATATATGTAATTTTCTCACACCAATATTTTTGGGAATATGAAGATTGTCGATATAGGGTCCAAACAATCGAAAATTAGGAATCAAAGACCTAAAATATATGGAGTAATACTGCGTATGCTTTTATTTCTTTAAATTCTTATTTTTTTCATCTTTAACTATTGATGTGTTTTTCTTCACAAAGTTATTAGTTTAATAAACTTAAATAATATTTAAAATTGTTAAAATAAAATAATATGGACTTCATGATATTTGGGTATTAAATTGGTAATCATCAATTTAGATCTTTGACTAATTGACTAATTGTTAAGGGCTCGTTCGGAATAGTTTTGAGTTTTCTGTTTTTGGTTTTTAAAAAGCAAAAAACTATTTTTTGATTTCTATTCTCAGTTTTTTGAAATCGTTTTGTTTTAGTGCTAATTCATTTTCAGGTTTGTCATTCCAAGAAACAAATAATTATTTTCGTAGTCCATGATAGTCCAATAATGGTCTCGGGAGTGGCCGGAAGCGGTCTGATGGTGGCCGGTGATGGCCCGTCAGTTTTCTGGGAGTGGCCGACGGTGGTCTGGTGGTGGCCGGTGGTGGTCTTCTGGTGGTTGGTTGTGGTTTGGTGGTGGCCAACGGCAATCCGGTGGTGGATGGCAGTGGTCCGGTGGTGGTCTGGTGATGGTCCGTTGGTGGTTCGGTGGTGGTCCGGTGGTGGGCCGGTGGTGGCCGGTGGTGGTCCGGTGTGGCCGGTGGTGTCCCGGTAATTGGGCATTGAAGATAAATGATAACAAATTTATAGAAATTATGTTTTGTGGATTTCAGAATTATGTTTTCGTTTTCTAAAAACACTTACAAAGATTATGATTTTGGAAACAAAATCAACTTTTTAACAAATGTGTTTCTGTATCTCGGATTATTGGGTCTCGGATTCATAAGATTCCAAAAAATAAGTATAGTATCTCTTGAAGACAGGACGAAACTGAGCCAGCTAGCTACCTTAAGATAGGGCCGAAACTACTTAAGACACACACCAGAATTGGGATTTGGGACTCAGAACTTCTGGTCCAGTGCAGGTACAATAGTGATTGTACTTTGTACGTATATATGCTACCGGGACTGGGAGCTTTTGTTCCTATTCTAAAATTATTTGTACGGACATTATGGAGTGTACTCGATTCTGTCGATTCTGTCGATTACGGAAATTATTTTTTCCTTAAGTATTAAGTATCATTAAAACATGTGGGTGTTTGGGGTCAATTTGACTTTGCACTCCACGTTTTGGTTGATATTGGACTTTACACTCCATTTTAAAATAACTTTGATTTTGCACCTCATTTTACTTCAAATCCTTTGACTTTGCACCCCATTTAGAAATTTCCTTTCACAAATGTTATATGATAAGGTACAAAGTTGATGGTTTTTTAAAATGGGTTGCAAATGTTGAAAAAATGTGTGAAAATTGCATTAAATGACTATTTTGGGGCAATTTTTTGAGTGGAGTCCACTTCCGATTTGGGTCGGGTCAAAGTGGTTTCGGATTGTCCTTGTTAAGGTCTACAATTCGATATATGGTACGCTCAAAACGGATAACGGGTGAATGAGAAATCGCTTTTCGAAGTTTACCCGTTAGAAGGGAAAAAGGATGGGTTTCTAGTGTGTTAATTTCCCACACCGGAAAACCCAAGGGATTTGCTACCCTTTATAAAGGGACTCCCCCCTTATGGAGTTAAGATTCTTAAGGGTAAAGGCTCTCTCCACGCGCGCAGGGGGGGTGCAAATCAAATCCCGAATTCGGAGAAGAAAAACCGCGACTTGCGTGCGCGGGCGACCTGCGGACACGAATGTCGTCCAAAAATCTATCTCTCAAGAGATACGATTAATTTTTGTTTTCTTCCCGAAACGTTTAATTTTTTCCCAGCGGCAGAAGTGCTCGGACAGAAGCCTACGGATCAGAACACCTCGTTGGTGTTCTGATGGCAGAACCCCTCATGGGGTATTCTGATGGCCGCCCATCAGAGATGGGGTATTCTGGTGGCCGCGGATCAGAGTTGGGGTCTTCTGATTGGCCTCCGATCAGAACCCCTCCCGGGGTGTTCTGATGGAGGTCTTCTGTCGCACTTCTGAAACGTTACAACAATTAATGCCCAACGTTTATATCTTTTAATGCAGCGTTAAATGGACAGTTCGTGGACGATTCAATGCCCAACGGACTGGTCATTCATGTCCAACGTTCAGGTCCATTGATTCACTATTTTCACACAACAAATCCTCCTATATAATGGCTGGCAGGTGGTTTGCAACAACACACGTTCTTACACGTTCTTACACGAATTCATACACGTTTTAGCTCTAAAAACACACTGCTAGCATTCCGAAAATTTCCTTCTGTGTTCAGTCTTTGTTCTCGTTCGCTGGAACTTTTGTTTGAGTGCTCAAACACTAGTTCGTTGTCATCGTATCCTGGGAAACTATTGTTGCAACGCTCCTAGCACCGTGGGAGGCAACAAATACGTTTTAAGGACATCGTGTGTAGCACGAGCTTTGACAAATTCTGCTCCATCTCT